CTGTAGGGAATTATTATATCACTTTACCCAGTGGATTGATTTTAGAATTATTAAATTGTTATTGTGTTCCGGCACTTACTACAAACATCATTTCTATTTCCTGTTTGGATTTAAATGGGTTTCGGGTAACCCAGGAGAATAAATGTTGTTCTTTTTCTAAAAATGGTGTGTTTTATGGTTTTGGAAGTTGGAATAACGGTTTATATATTCTAGATCTTGATCATCAAATTCTCAATGTGAGTGGAAAAGGAATGAGAAAAAATAAACTAAATAAAACCTACCTCTGGCACTGTAGGCTTGGTCATGTAAATGAAAAACGCATCTCCAAGTTATACCAACATGGATACTTGGACTCATTTTATTATGAATCATATGATACATGCGAAGCTTGTTTACTTGACAAATTGACCAAAATGCCCTTTAATAGAAAAGGAGAACGAGCCAGTGATTTACTTGGGCTAGTACATACTAATGTATGCGGACCAATGTTGATTACTGCTAGAGGTGATTTTTCATACTTCATCACCTTCACAGATGACCATTCGAGATATGGTTACGTGTATTTAATGAAATACAAATATGAATCTTTTGAAAAGTTTAAAGAATTCAAGAATGAAGTAGAAAAACAAACCAATAAAAGTATTAAGGTACTACGATCTGATCGTGATGGAGAATACTTAAGTGACGAGTTTGGAGTTTATTTAAAGGATAATGGAATAGTTCCACAATGGACTCCTCCAGGCACACCACAGTTAAATGGTGTATCTGAAAGGAGAAACCGAACCTTATTGGACATGGTTCGTTCTATGATGAGCCACTCAAGTGCCCCAAAATCGTTTTGGGGATATGCATTAGATGCAACCTCTTATACTCTTAATAGAGTACCCACTAAAGTTGTCGACTCCACACCATATGAGTTATGGAAAGGAAAGAAACCAAATCTATCTTATATGAAGGTTTGGGGCTGCCCAGCTTATGTGAAGAGGGCAAAGTCAGACAAGCTTGAAACTAGATCTGACAAATGTTTGTTTGTTGGGTATCCAAGAGAGTCTATAGGATACTATTTCTACAATCCAATTGAGCAAAAGGTATTTGTCTCAAAACATGCTATATTTCTAGAGAAAGAATATATTCAAGAAAGAAGCAGTGGGAGTAGAATAGATCTTGAAGAAATTCAGGATCATCAAACAAACATTGAACAACCTATAGTAGAACAGTTTTAACCACATAATGATGAGGTAGATACAGAAGCTGTTGATACACAAGGGCTTTGTAGGTCAGTAAGAACACGCTCAACTCCCAAGAGATACCAATTTCTTGCGAGCCATAGCAATGATGTGCTAGTCATTCAAGATGACGAACCTACTACCTACCAAGAGGCAATAAGCAATCCAGACTCCTCTAAATGGTTAGAAGCCATGAATTTCGAAATAAATTCCATGTATGACAATAAGGTGTGGACCTTAGTTGATCCACATGAAGGGATAAAACCTGTAGGGTGTAAATGGATCTTCAAGAAAAAGACTGACATGGATGGTAATGTAGTTACCTATAAAGCTAGATTGGTAGCCAAAGGCTACAAGCAGAAAGAGGGAATCGATTACGATGAAACTTTCTCACCAGTAGCTATGCTTAAATCTATTCGGATATTGCTTGCAATAGCAGCATATCATGACTATGAGATTTGGCAGATGGATGTAAAGACCGCGTTCCTTACGGACTTAAATATGTAAGCTACAATAGTCTATTTACGGACTTAAACAAACATCTAGGAGTTGGAACATCCGATTCGATGAGACGATCAAAGAGTTTGGATTTCTTAAAAATCCGGATGAACCTTGTGTGTATAAGAAGGTTAGTGGGAGTTTGGTTGTTTTCCTTGTTTTATATGTAGATGACATATTAATAATAGGAAATAGTATACCGATATTACAATCGGTAAAGGGCTGGTTGTCGAAGAACTTTTCCATGAAAGATTTAAGAGAAGCGGCCTATATATTAGGCATTAAGATCTATAGGGATAGATCTAAAAGGCTACTGGGTCTTTCACAATCTACATACATAGAAAAAGTGCTAAAAAGGTTTAGCATGGATCAGTCTAAGAGGGGTAATTTACCTATAACTCATGGTATAAGCCTTTCTAAAAACATGTGTCCAAAGACACAAGTTGAGACTGATAAGATGCACAATGTTCCATATGCTTCAGCAATTGGATCAATTATGTATGCTATATTATGTACAAGACCTGATGTCTCCTATGCTCTGAGTGTCACAAGCAGATTTCAAGCTAATCTAGGCGAGGGTCATTGGATAGCCGTTAAGAACATTTTTAAGCACTTAAGAAGGACCAAAGATTTGTTCTTAATATATGAAAAGGGTGAGTTAGAGCTCAAAGGCTATACTGATGCGAGTTTTCAATCAGATAAGGATGATTGTAAATCACAGTCAGGCTTCATTTTTAATCTTAATGGAGGTGCTGTCTGTTGGAAGAGTTCCAAACAAGATACCACAGCAGATTCTACAACAGAGGCTGAGTACATTGCAGCCACGGAAGCAGTTTGGATCAAGAAGTTCGTAACTGAACTTGGTGTGGTTCCAACCATTGTTGATCCGGTCACTTTGTACTGTGATAACAATGGAGCTATAGCTCAAGCCAAGGAACCTAGGTCTCATCAGCGATCCAAACATGTGCTTAGGAGATTTCACTTGATTAGAGAAATCGTTGCTAGGAATGATGTAAAGATAGAGAGAGTCTCCACAGAGGATAACATAGCTGATCCTCTTACTAAAGTTCTTCCTCAAAAGAAGCAAGATAGTCATGTATTATCTTATAGGATGAAAAACATGGATAATGTGTTTTAGTGCAAGTGGGAGATTGTTGGAATGTATGCCCTAAAACAATGTATTTGTTTTTATTTTATGCATTCCTAAATTATATGTTTTGTATTTTAACAATTTCTTATTTATCTGTTAAATATTAGATATAACTGATAAAGTCCTTAGAATGTTTACTAATGTGATGGTAGTCACAAGAGTTGATGACTATGAGATATCAATCGCATTTATAGTAATATTCTTAAAATTTCCTAGTTATAGTACTAATGAAATAGGACATCTTTAGTACGGTAAAACTAGTATACAGTTAGCCTCTAATTAATGTAATTAGTGGTTGTTCTCATCAACTATGGTATGATGATACCTAGGCTAATGTGTAGATGATTTGAAAAGTATAAATGCATTGGAGTGATCCATTTAGAGATCCCGTTAGGATATCTATCTAGTACCAATGGTGTATCTCTAGTGAAAAATTGTGTAAGTGATCCTACGACTTGAGATCACCATAGTATCTTGAGTGTGAATCGCTACATTTTGACTCTAATTACTTGTTACTCTTCGTGAGTGCCTTAAAGTGTAGAAGTTGAATGTAGTGTGAAACATGTAAAGAGAATGAGTGATCGAGATAGGATTTACCACTCTGATAGAAGGAGTTGATATCCGGATGGCCACTAGTGGGAAATTGACCCTAAAGTCGACTATTAGGTAAATTGAAGAATGTCTTCAATTTAACCTTATTCAGGGTAAATTTCGGGAACTAGAAAACTTAATTAGTCATCAGGGAATTGGCACTTATTCCTTATTTCTGACTAATTGGATATCTTTGGTGAAAGGATAATAATTACACGGTAATTTTTTCACAGAAAGGTTAGGTCGAATTCCCTTGACTAATTCCGAGTAATTGGGCGGTTGCGATGTGTTGCTAGACACCGCTCGTGATCTATAATTATGGATTAATTATTTATTATAAGCTATGATAAAATAAAGTTATTTATTTTATCTAATTATTAAACCATAATTATTACCAATTTATTCGGGACCTATTAGGTCACACGCAATAGAGATTTACACCTGGATTAAAATTATGTAAATTATCGGGGTTTAATTTTAAAAGAAAATTAATCCCAGGCCTATTTGAGCAAATAAGAGTGAGCGGTTATCTCTTATCTGTTAGATAGCTAATAGATACAGTCATATGTGATGAGAAGTCTTATCGTTTGATTTTGAATCGGACTCATCATTCTATCTTATCATCTCTCGCTCTCTCCTTTTATCCCTGATATACAGATACAGGAAGATGACTAACGAGATTTTTGGTTTTTTGGGTCATCATAACCAAAAGAAAAGGAGGGCCTGTGAGCGTCACAAACAACAGAGAGAGAAAAATACGTTGGAAAAGAGTAAGAAAGCTAGCACCTTTTCTTTTTATGATATACATACTTCGTGAGACGATCCAGGGTTACTCTAGCGTGGATATCAGTAGAGGCAGGACGACTGGACTGCTCAAGGGTTGACCATCCTCAACAACGCTACAGGGAGTCGCCGCAAGGATTAAGGTAATCGTATAACCCTACTTTTAGTGTATCATACGTAAAATCTAAGGTGATTCCTGGATAGTTTTAGAGAAAATTTTTATTTTTCCGCTGCATAGTGTCCCTAAAACCTAACAGAATCCGGACGAGCGGGGAAACAGTAAAAAGATTTCCATTCTTCATTGTGGAAGTCAAATTGTCCTTCTCCACTTAGAAACACCGGTCTCCATATTCTTGGATTGTTTTGCCGACGTACAATACCACCCGTCTAACGATCACCAAGGTTTCAATAGCGGATGGACGGATAGGATTTGTTTTTCTATTGTAGCAGAAAACCACTCTATTTCTCTGCCTATATAAGTATCCCTTTTTACCGTTGACAAAGTTAAACTCATTTTCTAAAAATGGGAACGGCACTTTAGAATAATTGAATTTAGAAACTACGAATTTAGAAACTCTTCAATTTGGTAGATGCCAAACAGGAAATATTCAGATTCCTAATTATAAACACAGATCCGCTGCTGCTCTCCTTTCTACATGTAAATCAACCAACCTCTTCCTCTGATCCCACAAGAAAATCGATTAATTGTGTGTGTCCAAGCCAAAACCTTTGGCTCAAGAAATTGTTCAGCGATGGAGGAGAACGCCGTAATACTGAATAAAAGAAACTTCGGTGGTCGAAGAAAGATTCAAATCAAGAAAATTGAGAAGAAGAAGAACTTGCTAGTCTCGTTTTCTAAACGTCGTGCAGGCTTGTTCAAGAAAGCTGAGGAATACAGCAAAAAATCTGGGGCTCAAGTTGCTATCCTTGTCCAATCTCCAGGTGGTAGATTCTTTACCTTCGGTGGTCCTGACTCTGCTTCGGTAGACTCCATTCTTGACCAGTATCTTGCTGGCATGATGCCTTCATCTTCAAGTTCTGCTTCTTGTAAGAATGGTACTGTTGTTGATGATCAGGGAAAGAGTAAGCCCGTAGAGATTGAAGAAAATACTATGGAAGAAGAGGTTATAGAGCAGGGATTGATGGAAACTAACCAGGTCAGTGATGGAAAAGAATCCTTGTTGAAACAGCCGTTGGATAATGATGATCTTCAACGAGTTGATGAACTCGAAAACTATATGGTCACCATGAAAGGCCTGGAGGGTGAGGAATTGTCTCAAGAAGATGATGGAACGAACAGGGCTGCTGATGATAATATTAATGGTGATCCTGATTCATCAAGTTTATTGAATCCCAATGTTAATCTTGATTATTTTGGTGGGTTCCTGTGAATCCTGTTTATATTAGTGGACTACCAGTGAATAATGATTTGTTTCAAGAATATAATGAGATGACCAGGGCTGCTGCAGATGCTGCTTCATCAATTTTGTTGATTCCAAAAGTTAATCTTGATTATTTCAGTGGTCTTCCAAAGAACAATGATTTCTTTCAAGATGATGAGATGGCCAGGCCTGCTGATACTATTAATGGTGATGCTGATCCATCAAGTTTAGTGATTCCCAACGTTAATCTTGATTATTTTGGTGGGCTTCCAATGAATAATGATTTCTTTCAAGATGATGAGATGAACAGGGCTGCTGATGCTGTTAATGGCGATGTTGATTTGGTGGGCTTCCAGTTGATTTTGATTTTGATTTTGATGAACCGAGTCCTCAGTACAATGATTGGGAGTAGCAGCACTTATTCAAGATGCAGAGACATGGTTAATTAATTATGTTAACCAGATACATTTTATCAATTTTCCCTTTTTCGTTATTGTTTTGAAAGGCCAAATCTTATTGGAATTGGTATGTGTTATTAATGGTTTACTCTTTGAATTATTTTATGAGAAAATTGTTGAGATTTCATAAATTGATTTTTGTGTTTGCTCTAGTTTTCCTTTTTCTTCATGTTCATAATCAGTTTCGTTATGTTTTACACCCCACCGGACACCATCTTTTTGTGGAATTTCTAGAGGAAAAGTAGGTAAAAATGGCTATCCAATTGGTCTTATAAATTCTATAACGCTTTCAAACTGGAGAATCAGCAGCAGTAGGTAAAATGGTTGCAAAATTGGGTTTAGAAAAATTTCCAATTCAGACACTATGGGATCTCTTCGTTTGTTTTGGTGTTTTCTTTTGGATCTTTTGAAATTATGAGAGCAGAGTCCTGTCCCAAGAAGGCTTTGGGGAGTGGAAACAAAACCCAAAATTAGAAAAATGAAAAATGAAAAAAAAAATAGAAAAAAAGTAGAATGGAATATATGGGTACGGTATAATTAATTTGGGCACCACGTTGTGCTTTCATCTCTGATAGAGAGGGCCTAGTCAAGTTTAACAAAAAAGAATGAAAGAATGTAGGGAAGCTTGACCAGTTAAGAATGTATCTAGCATTAATATGCACATTTGAAATTAAGTCGATCGAGTATAATTTTCTATTATCAAATTCTATGATTGTTTGTCATTATTTTTTACGGTAATGAAAACCGATTGCTTGTCATTATTTTGTATGGTAATGAAAAACGACTTGTAAACGTGGAAAAAAAAACTTGAGATATTAGGTAGGATTTAATTGTGTTAATTAGTGTCAGTTGCACACCTGTTAAGAAAAAAATCCATTGTACTTGTCGACAAAAATCTAGTTGTTTTTTAAAATTCTTTTCATGAGTGTAGAGATGAGGTTTAGGAAGAGCGGAAATGGAATGGGAAATTGAACTCAAGACTCGACATTTATATGTAAAAGTTTTTTTTTTTTTTTCCTTAGCTCGTGTTTGTCGGGCACCCTATAAGGCCTAAATTATACTCGCTTCGTCCTTATATTAAAGTCATATTTTAGAAATTCAAGTTTTTATGAAAACATAAAAATTGTTATGTTTAAATGAGATGGTATTGGAGAAATTACATATGTACTCTTTGAATTCAAAATATTTATTTGCTAAATGTGCATTGGGATTTTAAAAAATTACTTTTTTAAATGATAAGATTGGAAAGCACCTGTCGAAGTTAAAATGGTTACTCTTATTTTGGGACATCAATAAAATAAAATACATGACGTTAAAAATGGGACGAAGGGAATACATAATTTCTCATATATTTAAATATTGCCCCTTCTTAGTTAAAAATGGGACGTTATTTATTGATTGTACATAATTCATGCAAATAACTAACACCTAAAGCTCCTTTTATTTTTTAAAAAAATTTATCCTCACACCCCTTCCCCCACCTTATGCTCCTTTTGAGTGGGCGCTTATTTGACAAATCTCGATATAAATACTTTTGAAGATCAGTCTCCTTTAGAGTTCCAATACTAAGACAATTTCTTTACATTGTATTTTTGTGTTTGTAATCAGTAAATAGTGGACTTAGTAATAACTAAACACAATTTTCATTGTGGTCCTATTATAAAAGGAGTAATATTTCAAGCACTCAAGTCAGTGACTAAGGACTGGAACGGGATAGTATACACCATTTTAATGAATTTAGGAACTAAAGGTTAAAGAGGGGAAAAAAGGGGTTAAATAAGGTTTTTTTTTTTTTAAAATTGTTTTCTCTGGGAATTGACACATGAGAGTTTTAGGACTCCATCAAATTCAGGCCTAATATATTTGGCACTCAATTGAACTCAGGACCTAATATTATTGGGCCTCTTGTAACTGAACTACGGCGCCTAAAATAAGTTACTTAGTAGGGAGGGCAACGGGGCGGGGTTGGGACTGGGGACCCCTCCCCCAACCCCTGCCCCGCTGCCTACAAACTCCCCCTGCCCCCGCCCCATTCCCCGTTCCTCGCTCCCCCAACCCCGTTTCTGCCCCGCCCCGTTTCCCCCGTGGGTGCTCCCGCGGGGCTAATAAAAAATTGTTATATAATTTTATTATGGTTAAATTTTAGCAAATAATCAAGTACTAAAATATCAACACATCATCAAATTATTATTCATTGCAATTTTACAATTGAAACTTATAAAAACAATCAAATAAAAATTAGTTGAATACAATCCAACATGATAAAATAAATATAACTAAAGTAGTCAAGTTTTCACTTTTGGCACAAATACAATAACTAATTCATTATTATGCTTGTGCTTTTTTTAAGAAAAAATGTTATTGTATTAAGTATAACTAGAGATTTAATATAAATGTATTAGTAAATTTAGTATAACCAATTAATAATTTGTATTAGTACACATATATAATTATTAGTATAATTAATAATATCAATTATATTATATATACTAATAGACATTATATAATACATATAACTAATAATATCATTATCATAAGTTTGTAACTAATTAAATTATAAATTATATATATAATTATATACATATATATTTTATATATTTATTTTTTTAAAGCGGGTGGCGGGGCACACTCCCTGTGAGAACTCACAAAAATTTAATATTTTAAATTCTATTTTAAGTATTATTTAAATATTTAATTGCCCATTTATTCCGAATATTATTTTCTAACCTCATTAGACCTAAATACATGGAACTATAGCTTCATTATATTTTTAAAGTAACTTGTTTCAAAAATTAATTTTTGAAAACTCGTTAAGTGAAAATAGCGAATACGCGATTAGAATCAATAATTGATTCGAGGATACAATAAGCTTGAAAAATTAGAGACTTACGCAGTGGTCCTACAATAGGTAATTTTATGTTTAAATACTCAAGTGATAGTTATTAGTACCATCATTATAAGAATTTCTTGGAGATTGCACTTTATCGCACATGAATTGGAAATACGCGTTTTTACACGCGCGATTTAATTGAGGGACTCTAGACCCTTATTTTGGGACAATTAAGAGTGAATAATATTTATATAAATATAAGTACATTAGAGGTTTAGTGCACTAGAGAAACAAACTCGAGAGAAATCGAGTACAAAACACGCGCGTACACGCGCGAAGAAGAGTTGACTTTGGGGCAATTGTGGACCACACATTTAAAGCTTCCTTTGGAAGCTACTTTTGGACAAACACTCTCCCTCTTCTCTCTCATTTTGGCCGGCCACCCCAAAGAGCTAAGAACCAAACTTGCTCCATCACTTTCTATTCCAAAATCTTGTACAAATCATCAACCAAATCAAACCAAATTTGAACTACACCTATTTGAACACTTGGAGATTGTATCTAGCTAAAAAAAGGGGAGCTTTTCACGGTTTTCTTGGAGCAAGGGGGGGACCGAAAATTCTGCTTAATCTCATCAAACCAAGTAAGTAACGATCAACTCTTAAATTCTTGTTTTATGAGAGTAGTAATGCACATTTAAGAGCATGCATGCATATGGGTAGCTTGGATATGTTGAAAAATGGTTGTGTGGATTTTATGAACTCCCACCTTGGATATATGGACTGATTTGGTGATTGATGATGAAACTAATGTTGGTTTAGTGCTTATTATACTAGAAATGAGTGATGCTATGAGTAAAAACTCAAATGAGGTGCAATGGGAAAAAGTGACCATTTTACCCCTGCTATGTTCATGCACTTTGATGTAAAATTTTGAGGTTCTAATGGCTTGGTTGTGTTGTTTACATGTTATATTGAGTGTGTAAAATGTTTCATTGAAAGATAACTTGATTTGGTCACCCAAATGTTGGATTTATGAAAGCTTAGAAACCTGGAAACTAATCCCGTATTCACCTAGGCAGTGTTTTGTTTCGGCTATATCTTTTTATTCCAATGTCAGAATTGAGTACTGTTTGTGACACTGGAAACTAGACATTCTCAGCTTTCTATTGGTATAAAATGCACATCCTGGTTCCACTTGTGCAAGCCAAACGACTCATTTGAAGTTTGCTGTCCTGTTTCGTTTGTTCACTACAGGGCAGAACATGAACTGTATCTTGAGGCTCAAACGTGAGTTAGTTGTGGATAGATTTTGAAAATGATTGCTCCTGAGAAATTATAGATTAATGAAAGTGTTTTCCAACGCCACCAACCACGTTCAATTCTGAGTTGAATTGAGTGATTTGTGGCCGTATTTCGAAACTGGCTTCTTGAAGGAAAACTCTCCCTTTTGGGCAGAATTGTTGCTAAACTCGAGTGAGACTTGTTAAGTTGAGATTTTTGGTGTTAATCACCATCAAACATATCTTGGATGTTTAATAAACATTGTCTATTAAAATGTACCATGTTTTCAAGGATTTCATGTGGCCAAAAGCCTAGAAAAGGATATTTTGTATACAAGGCAGTTTTGCCTTGAAATTTTGGAAACTTGGGTGATTTAGTTAACCAACTTTCCGTGCTTATTTATCCATGAAATTTGGCAGAGATATAGTCCTTATATGG